TCCATTCTCCTTTCCTTCCATCCATTCATCCATCCTTCCACATGCCCATGCATCCATCCATCTATCCATCTAGCCACATCAGCATTTGCCAGGTGACATCTGTGTGCCAGGTACTTTGAATATAAAGTTCAAAGGCACAACTTCATGTGCTGATACATTTCAAGGAGGTCCTGTGTTCTGTGTCACAAGACAGTTTCATAAGAGTGAGGGTCCTGATTGGTGTCCTGTTGGCTGCAGCTTGAAATGGGGGGCCTGCCGCTGTGTGCTTTGGGTGAGAGTAGGAGAGTGGTGACTTATGACCTGTTTGTGATGGCCGTGGTGTGGTGAGAGTAAATCTATCCTGTGTTTCCACCGCAGGGCCCAGAGTTTGAGCCTTTTGGTTTGAATAACATGTTTTATTGACAGGAGAATTCAGGGAGGTTCTGCACCTGGGGATGGACACCAGTAGACTTTTTTTTTTTTTTTAATAACATTTGCTCCTACTGTATATTGTTGGAAACTGTAATACACAGCCAAGGGAGAGCAGGAGGCAGACTGCACAAAGACACTCAGTCACTGCCTACATTTTGTGCATTTCTTCCCGGCCCTTTTAAGCAGTATATAATTTTAAAGATCTTTTAAAAAATTTATTTGAGAGAGACAGTGAGCAAGTGAGAGAGAACACAAGCTGGCGGGGAGGAGCAGAGGGAGAAACAGACTCTCCATCAAGCAGGGGGCCCGATGCAAGACTCGATCCCAGGACCTCGGATCATGACCTGAGCTGAAGGCAGACTCTCCACTGACTGAGCCACCCAGGCACCCCAAGCAGTATATAATTTTAGAAAGTAGATTTTACTGATCGTACATGTGTCACAACCTGTTTCTTTCATTTAAGGAATTCATGAATATATTTTATGTCAACAAATCTTCTACAACATCAGTTTACGCGGCGGCTCAGGATCCCCTCATGTGGGCATGCCTGCCTTTATGTCTCCTACCCTGTGTTGGGCGGTCAGGCTGCTGCTGGCTTGTTTGCCATTGGTCAGTTGCTGCAGGAACACCTCTGGAACTGAAGTGTTGCGCACCCCGGAGCGGAAACTCAGTCTTCTCAATGCCACCAGAGAGAGCAGTAAGGGCTTGCTTCTTCTGGCTGGGAGAGCAGGATGGTTCCCACCACTCTTCTTGGAAGGATTTGCTGGTGGCCCCTCGGGGACATGTCCTGCGGGCTGCCTGCCGAGCTCCATGCCTGGGCAAGATGATAAGCTGAAGCTTCAAGGTTGGCATGGGGTGCCGCCCTGGCTCGGGGACCCTCAGGGTCTAGCAGGACAAGCTTCGTGAGGGGAGGCTGTGGGCCCCCAATGACAGAGGTCCTGGGAGCCCCGTTCTGGAACTCTGGGCTTGGTGAGGACTGCACTGGATACTGCTCTGCCCGGGGTCCCCCTTTAGCTTCCTGGGGTCCAGATTACATGTCCTTTCCCCAGAAGTCCCTGCTGCCCACTTGGCCTGTCCGTTCCACACACATCCCCCTTCAGCGGCTCCATGCTTCGCACGCAGGCTGGCCCGAGGTGAACAGGTGGGGCACCCTCCTTGCCCTTCTGCACCCTTTGACCGAGTCCGTGCTATTGTGCGTCTGACCCAAGCTCCACATCTGGGCCACGTGGGGCCTTACGAATAAACAGATTCCTGTGCCTCACTCTCTTCCGCTCGGAGCCATCCGGGGGGTGGGCTTGGGGGGCTGCATTCTGAAACTCCGCCAGCGAGCACGAGGAAGCTGAGTGGCTGCTGGGTGTTCAGGAGTCTGTCCGCCGTGAATGCAGACCCAGTGGAGAGTGTGGGGTCAGAGCAGGCCGTGGCTGGGTGGGGACGGAGCCAGGACACCCACCCAGGGTGCACACTCCACACCTCTACCTGCTGTCCTCTGGGCTGTCCCCTCCGCTCCTTGCACCTTCGCTGGGGGTGCATGTGGCTCCCCGCTGTGGGACTGGCCCTCTGGGGACACAACTTTCTGCTGTAACCCCTTGCCCTTTCCCATGCACATGTTCGTTGGCCCCGGCGACATGGTCAGTGGGTTGCTGAGCCAATTGTATGTGGGGAGGAGGGGAAGACGGTATGTGTGTGTTCATTCCATTTGTTAACTGGGATGCAGGCAGGAAGTGCAGATAGAAGTTGGGGAAATGTCATCGTTTGCCATTTATGTTTTCAGAAGAGCTGGAGGGGCTGTGGGCTGGGAGGTGTTTGATCATGGCCTGACCTCTCCATCCTGGGATGGGGCCGCCTGGCCAGGGGTGACGTGGGAGCCACGCAGGGGCCTCGCTTCCCCTGCAGGGATATGCACCCTGCACCCTGTCTTCCCACATGGGGCTGCAGCCACCCCACGTCTGACCCCATGACGGGGGGCCCCACACCTGCTCCCAGCAGCCTCCACCCTCCGTCACCGCAGCGGGGTTCCCTGCGGTGGGCCCCGCCGGAGCACTCCCCTTCCTGCACACACGCCGGCCAGGGAGCATGGCCCAGGCAGACCCAGGGACGGCGCCCCTCCGACAGGACCACATGGAACCCCATGTAAGGGGCTACCTCTCACTTGCCGGGTCCCTCACCACCACGGATGACAGACTCCAGCCTGGAGCAGAGTGCGAGCGGGGGGCCGAGGCTGCCGGGCACATGGTGGCCAGAGAAGCCACCGTGTCTGCCGGGACCGCAGCACGTGGACACGCCGGGACCGGTGCCCTGGCTTCGGCGTGCTCCCCTGCGGCAGCTCCCCTCTGCCTGGGGTTCCACCTGTATGTAGGGAGCACGGCGTTTGCACTGACTGCAGGAAACAGGCTTCGTCCCCGCGCCCACGCTAACCGATGGCTGGTGCCGTGGGTGGGCTCCGCGGGCAGGAGTCTGGCCCGTGTCTGGCCGGCCGGGGAGGAGTCGGGCAGGTGATGAACGTTGTCGGCTGCGGGGCTGCAGGAGGGCATGGCATGTGGGCCCAAAGCTTCCGAGCTCTGGCGTCGCTCGCTTCTATCACATGCGGCACTGGTGCTTTAATGGCCAATGCTTAGAGCTCTCAACAGCCAAGAATAACAGCCAAAGCCAAGTTGCTCACTGCTTGTGAAAGGCCCCGTGTAGCACACGAGCTTGGGGCCTCGGTGGGGCCGTTTGTGCCGTGAGCCGGTGGAGTCCTGTCTGGGGCGGCGCAGAAGGACCCCGCCATTCCGCGGATTCCTGACGGTCAGGCCCCGGCCACTGAAGTGTGACTAGGTACCAGAGGGCCGCTCACAGCACTCGGCGTATTGGCCAAGGCAGCCCTGTCACCGGCTGAGAAAGGGGCCTTCTGGTATGGCTTGGGTTTTCTCTCCCTCTGAAAGAAATTGTGGCTGGAAGGAGTGCAGCCTAAAAGGAAGTCTGTGGAATGTGTCTCAGCCGGGGGCTTTAGGACCTTGCCTCAGTTTCCCAGTCTCCTGAATGTGCTCGGCAGGCCCGGCCTTGTAGGATGTGAGGATTCACGAGGATGGTGCACATCAAAGGCCCGGTGGGCTCGGTTCTTGCAGCAAACCACAGCCAGCAGAGGGTGTCTGTGAATTTAGCAGGGGGTCCTCATGGGCCATGTTCATGGTCTCTGTCCCCAGACACACATAGGCTACACACATGCACACACAGGCTACACACACGTGCACACATGCACACGACCACACACACAACATGCAATGTACACACTTTGTCTTGTGTGCACTTATGCACATACATGCACACACATTATACACGTGTGAGCACACATAGACTACATACATGTGCATATTACACACATGCACACAGATCACACAATATGCAGTGCACACACTTCATCTCTCACGCATCTTATGTACATGCGTGCGCGCACAAGGACACATGCACACACATGGTGACTACACATATAAACCAAGACAAGCACACATACACACACAGATTACACCCGCAGCGTGCAATGCACACACTATCTTGCACACACACATGCAGTTGCACACACACACAGATGGATTCATGCACCCTGACTCAAAGAGGTCTCGAAGTCAAGGCTTGCACCTGCTTCCTCAGTGTGTGATGTCTGGCACGGCAGGGGTCCCACAAATCCTGTAATGAATCGTGAGCAGCTTCATGTACGTTATACTCTGGGGCAACTGCCTCCCTTTCCCTGCCTCAGTTTACCGGTAATCACCTGTGGAATCTCCTGCCTGCTGCCTGTTGTAAGGGCCTGTGGAGTCCCTGCATTGGGGCCTTTGAGGCTGGAGACAGGTGGGCCCTGGGTCACAGGAGAGGACGGGATAGGGTCAGGGCAGCCTAAGAAGGAGTGGTCACAGCTCACGGCTGAGCACGTCAGAACTTTCGTCCGGACAGGTCAGTCGGTGTGAGGAGATACTGCTCGGATCCCCTCATGCAGCCTGAACCTGGAGCTCTTCGTTTTCCTTCCCCCGACCCTTTGAGGGAGCTGGGTGCTGATGTCAGTGGCCACGCGGGGAGCGGAGGGGCTGACGGAAGGAGCACTGTGCTTGGATGTATGTGTCAACACTGCTGGGGAACACGGGGCAAATCACTTGAGTTTTCTGGGCTTCTGCATGCCCCGCTCTGAACCGGGTCAGCACCTGCCGTGAACATGTTATTAACTGTACGGTAGCTTCCAGAACAGCGGCATGGGGTAAGCACTTTGTAAGCGTGTCTCCCGCTACGGCTCTCTGCAGCCCCGACAGGGCCGACCCTAGTGTGGGTGAGAACGAGCCCCAGCGTGTGGTTAATGTGGCTGGCGCGTGTGAGCCCAGCCCCGCTCCTCTGCTGTGGGGAGCCCAGCAGCCCTCGGCAAATGTTGGTGCACGGAAATGACACATTTTGCATGGTACACACAAAATAGGTACCTAGCTCCCCCAAATGTTAACGCTGTGTGTGTGTTTACGAGGCGAAATGTGCTGAGTGAACAGCTGTGTGCACACAACCCTTCATTACAGTTTTGTGATGACTTTCTGGTTTCTTGTGGAATTACAGAAGCGTCTTTCTGGTCTCCGCAGGTCATCTCTGCCGTGTCCAGACTCTCCCTGCACCACGTGGCTCAGAACAAAGGGATCAGGTGAGCTCGCCAGCGCGGCCAAGTGACGCCCCCTCGTCCTCCCCGCCACGCGCGGGCCACCCGCGGGCCTGGCCTCAGCGATGAGAGTCTGCAGCAGATATCCTCTGCCTGTGTCTTTTTCATGAATTTCAATGTGGTGTCGTGTTGCCTGTTGACCGCGGCGGGAAGGGGCAGGGAGGAGGGGTCAGCCTTCGGTTCCCACCAGGGAGATGGTGTACGTGTGTTCAACTGACGGCTGCAAAATCTCTTTCAATTTCGGTACTAAGATCAGCAAATTAATCTTTTCACAGATCATTGCCTGCCTAAGCGCCCTGCGCGGCACCCCCCACCCCCACCCCACGCATCACAACCGGGGAGGCTGTGCCATGAGGGCTGAGCAGCGGGCCTGGCCCATCTGGGGGCCCCGGGTCCCTCTGCAGGACTTCCCATTCCCAGGTTTAATGCCCCTTGGCTTTCAAAGCTCAGCCTCAGAGGATCCTGCGACCCCTGTGATCTGGCCTCTGGTCTCCGATACCGGGCCAGGCACGCAGGCAATGGGGACAGGGAACGGCAGCCCCGTTGAGAACAGGTCGTTGCCCCTTCTGACCCACAGGTGAGGGGTCAGGGAGACGTCTAAATGGGGACCAGGTTCCAGATCAGGTGGGCCCAGTGGAGTACCTGCCCTTCTTCCATGTCCCTGGAGGACGTGGGCCAGCAGGGTAGGGATGGGGGGTTTGGGAGGACAGAAATAGCCCCGCCCTAGGGTGGAGTGGGTGGGGTCATGCCCACGTGCAAGCGACACCGTGAGGGTGGCACACTGTGGCAAGGGGCCACCCCCTGGTGTTGTCTGTGGGGGACACAGTGCCTGGAGTCTGGGGTCCCAGGACCATGGGGCCGGGCAGATCCAGACCAGCACAGCTGCCCCTTGGCGGGGCTGTTTGCCCAGGTTCAGAGAGTCACTGGGACAGATACGAGGACTAGGGACCTGCGGCCGCCCCCGGCCCCCCCCAACCTAGGAAGTCTGTTGCATTCTGAGAGGACTTGGAGATTCCTTTGAATTGGGGACTTTCGGTTTTTGTTGTTTATGACATCAGAGACAGGATAGGCTGTTTAAAACTATTGTTAGATTATATGCTGAACACACGCAGGAGAGTATTTAGAACACGTTAGGGTATAAAGGATGACAAGACCAAGCTCCCGCACCCACCAGGCAGCTTAGCCCCGAGGACATCGCTAATACCTTGGGGCCCCCTTGCCTCCCGCACCCCGCCCTGGCCCCACCAAGCTTTTGTGAGTTTGTAATAGGGACAGTTTAAAAACGTTAATTACGAATCAGTGTGTTATTTCTGGATACAAAGACAGTGCATAGTTTGGGTTTTGGTTTCCTCCAGAAACGACTGTCTGTCCGTTCTCCCGCTAGTGTGTTGTGATTGTGTACCTCTCAGCCCGTTCAGTGTGGTCTCGTCTGTCCACGTGTCCGTGTACACACATGGGCAGGAGTGAAGTTCACGCAACAGAAGGTAGTCATGTGATTTGCTCTTTCCCCGGAGGCTAGAGCATCTGTATCCATTTCTCCCCGAAGCAGGGTCTGGCCCAGGGGAGCCCGATTACGTTCTCATTCTTGGGGCCGATGACCCCCCTGGTGTTGCCCTGGACAGGGCGGTCCTGCTGTGGTTCCAGGCTCCACAGCCCGAGGCTGACGTAACCTTTCAGTGCAGGGGGCCGGCGGGGGGGGGGAAATGAGGGGAAGGAGGGAGGTGTCTGCAGGTGTCTGCAGCCCCAGGCAGGGCAGGGCCTCCCCTCTGCAGAGAGAGCCCCCGCCTCCCACCTGCATGGCCTCCTCACCCTCAGGGCTGGTTGTCATCCGTGCCTCTCCTCCCCCTGTGCTTTCCCTTCCTAGCCTGAGCCCCGATCCAGAGCTCTTCTGGGGTTCTTTCCCTCTGCAGCCCCCAGGGACAGGAGCTTCCCCACTGTGAGCTCAGGGGAGGGCAACACGGCGGGGCTGCCCCTCGTCCCCCATACAGGCTGCGATTTCCCCAGGGGTCTGGGAGTTCTGGTAACCACCGGCCCTTTACGACACTAGGTAGCTCTTCGTTTAAGAGCGTTTCCTAGCGTTCTTCATTACCAGAGGTTTCCGTGTGGCCAAACCCTTTCCTTTTCTGAAAACCCACCACCCAAGCCTGCAGCCCTGAAGAGAGTCTTCCTGGTTTCTTTCCTGGCTGGATGGGAGCCCAGCAAGCTCCTTTAGAAAAATGATCATTTTTACAGCCTTTGCACTTTGTCTAATGAGCTGATTTTCCATAAAAAGCCCTAATTATACTTCTCAGAGGCTGATGAGTGGGAGACTTAATCTGAGGGCCCCACCCGGGTGCCGGCTGGAGGGTCGGAAGTGAGAGGTTGGGTCGGGGAGGAAGGGGTCCCTGGCAAGTCATCCAGCTCTGCGGGTGGAGGTGCAGGTCCTTTTCACACCAGAGCTGGCCCTCCAGAGTGAGGGACGTCCCGTTCACAGCTCTGAACGGCAGCGGCAGGGGAGAGGGCAAAGGGACAAATTCTCCTGGGGATTGAAGCCAGAAGGTGAGGCCAGCGAGCCCTCAGCCCACGAAGGGGTCCTCTTTCAGGCACCTGTTCACCCGGTGGCCTTAGGCAGGAATGCTCTTGGGCCCTCTGTCTCTTCTTCTGTAGGCCAGGAAGGTTCCCTTGCTACACAAGGTCTCGCTGTGAGCCTGTAGGCTGTGCAGCACCCGGCACTCCATGGATGCCCACTGCGCTGGCCGGGGTGGTGGGCAGAGAGGGGGGCCCCCAAAGCCACAGCCCCCTCCTGGCTCCTGGACCTTGTGTGACAGGAAGAGTTTCCCTGCAGGTGTAACTAAGTTGTGTTATAGGTGTCATCGTAAGTAGAGGAGGGAGGCGGGAGGGTCGGAGCAGAGGTTGCGGTGATGTGGCCACAAGCTGAGGAATGTGGGCGTCTTAGAAGCCGGGAAAGGCAAAGAACAGATTCTCCCCCGGAGCCTCAAGAAGGACCCCGCCTGCTGACACTTTGAGTTGAGCCCAATGCGAGGCCCAGTTCAGACTGCTGACTTCCAGATCTGTCGGACGGCAAGCCGTGTGGAGCGGGGTGGCTGCGGCCGTGGATGCAGGTGGCTTCGCAAGGGTCCTGGTGCGGCGGGGGGGCTCCGGGTCCTCGCTGGGCCGCTGCTCCCCAGTCCTGAGCTGCTGTCCTCTCTCTCTTTGTACTGAATTGAAGTAAAACTCACGTGACACAAATCTAAGCCTCTTAACGTGTACGGTTCAGTAGCATTTAGCAGGTTCTCCATGCTGCGTGCCCACCACCTCTGTCTGGTTCCCGAACATTCTCACACCCGATAGGAAACCCCTTCCCTCATAAGCACCCGCGCCCCTCCCCTGCTCCTCCCCCTGGATCCGGCACTCAAGCTTTCTGGATGGGCCTGATGGAGACATTTCGTATAAACGGCATTGCACGCCATGCAGCCCTCCTGTGACCTGCTCCCTTCCCTGGGCGTCGTGGTTTCAAGGGTCTTCCGGGCTGTGGTGCAGGATAGAGGCCAACCCCGTGTGGGGTTTCCAGTCGTCAGCGGATGGACGTCAGGCTGCTTCCGCCCTTTGGTGAGATCGTGAATTGCGCTGCAGTGAACGTTCGTGTTTGTTTAGATACCTGAGCTTCCGTTCCTTTGGGTTGCCTTCTGACATTTTGATTATTTTCTGCCCAAAACCTACCCATGAATCCTCGGTGTCTGGACGCACCCGGGAGCCAGAGCCTGGGTCCCGTCCCCGTGTCCACGGCACATGACGGTGGCTCACCTCGCCTGGGTGGCTGTTTCCTGGAGGGCGGCTCAGAGAGGGGGGCTGCCAGGCCGCCAGCAGGCGAGTGGCTACTGTGAGTGGCCGCGGGGTCCCCCCCAGCCTAGTGCCTCCTGCTTGTTGTTGTCACCCCAAAACTCTGCTGCTGTGTGCCTGGGGGGTCCTCATGCTTGGTCTTTTCCTCCGGTCTGGGAGACCCCAACCCCATTTCAGGGGCGTGGGGCTGCGGGCAGGCTGCAAGGTGGGTGGGTGGGGCAGGGGCAGGGTTGGGAGAGAGGGGATGCCCCCCAGCCCCCAGTGGATGGAACATCCTTTTTCAGTTTGAAGTGAATTCTCAGAATGTCAGATGTACCCGGATCCAAATCTGAGTCGAGGAAAGCATTCTGGAACTGAAGAAAAACGCTCCTCCTCTTGTTGCAGGCTGCGGAGGATCCGCTCTTGGGTCTTCCCGGGGCAAGGGGCAAAGCCGCCTTGGCAGGAGGTGAGCCTTGCTGTCTGATGGGGTCTCCTGTCCTCGTCCTGAGGCGAGTGTCTCGTGGGAGGGTGGGGATCTGGTGCTCTTGGCGCTTCTAGGGAGGAGAGGCGTGATTTCCCTCGATCCTCAAAGGGCCCTCCCCAAGTAATGGTCCTGTCCTGCAGTGAAGCCCCAGCCGCTCCTCGAGGTGTCCTGTGTTTGCGGACACCAGCCATGGCTCACAGTCCCCAAGTCTCTCCATGGGCCCCCTCCCTGCCGACGTGCCTTTCCATCTGGGGCCACCTGGTTAATTCCGGGGAATTGGATTGTGCATGGGAGGTTTGGATGGAAAGTGGCTGTTTTCATGTGCTTACTAGCTCATGCTGCCAGCAAGATGGTTTTAATCGTCCCACCTGGTGACTTCGAGTGCCTGGCCACTTGTCGTCGGTGGAGAGCCCGTGTGCCTCTTCCTTCCCTGATGATGATGGGGCCGGCATCGTTGGCCACAGGGGAGTAACTGGAAGACTTGAGATTCCTTCCGGGAGGGGCTCGGACCGTTGTGGGCTGTTGGGAGGCATGGTTGTGTCTGGCCTCCCCCAGCATGTCCTGGCCACACAGGGTGGCTCTGTCCAGCGGGTGCCTGCCCCACTTGCCCGGTCAGGTGACTGCTCAGGGGCGGATGGTGTCCGTGTTAAGTGCAGAGACCCAGCCTGGCTTAGTGGCCCCCCTCGCTCCCACGGCCTCGACT